AACACACCACTCTGGTGACATGACACATCAATGCAGGCCTAAGCCACAACTCGCATAATTCGCGCACCAATAAGAAACGGTCTGACATACTCAAGTCATGAAAATGATCCAAACGAAAGAGCTGTACCTCAAGCTCATCAATACCATCACAACACAAAGCTGAGACCCTGTCTCACATCATAGAAATATAACACATGAATCTACCCTGAAAGGTCATATCACCACGTAGCCTCGCTACAATGCCCGATCCTATCCAAACACTGTTACACACGAAACACCCCAAGTCACTATGCTCTAAATTCGACAGCCACACAGAATTTGATGTCTGGGACCAAAGCAAATCATTACACCCACGGTGAAACAAATAACATATGCCACGCAACCTGATAGGACATAACCGATACGCCATTCACTATGCAACGCTCAATTACTCTTCCCGCTTGAATTCTACTAAAAGACTCCAATTGAACCGTACCGTATGTGCCTATAACTAACAAATCATAACATCCCGCAACACAGAAAGGTAACTCATAGATCTCCCCAGATCACTGATAAGCTCAACAACGGTCGAATCAACACCTCCCTCAACAATGCCATCCGGAGCCAGCCAAGCCGACTCAAGATAGAATACTCACCCACGTTGGCCTGCCAACGAACTCCTTACCAAGGAAACCTGAAGCTGCTCCTTCCACCTCTATAACTCTGCCGGCGCTATACGATACGATACAAGGCACCAAATCAACACCGAAATCCACAACCTTGCCCGGCGACATGCCCAGCCACAAGAAACACCTCCGAGAAGTCCCTCACCACCGGAACTGAATAAACAAGAGGAGCCTTAGCACTGACACTCGTCACAAAACCCCAAATAAGAAAGGCAATCCTTCCCAGTCGTTCGCTGGTCTTCGAAATATGAAAATCCCCAATAGTACACAATCCGTCGAACATCGCCACTCATTCCGTGTCATTTCCCGACATAGGCAACCGCGCCATCTTATCGCAATGGTCCAGAATAACACAATACGGAAACGTCCAATCTACACCCCAATATCATATCCAAAATCTAACATACCAAGCAAAGAAAGATCCACTCGGGCATCCAAATCTCGGCAGTCACTAAACAGTGCTGATACGCACGATCTAGAATCAAAACATAGCCTGAATATGAGAACTTCCGGTCTCTAATTCCGTGTAGCACACAAATCATCATACCTGATCCCGAATTCCGCCGTCCGAATACATATCGCACCTCCAGCACCTAGTCATTCCACGAAAGATATCCTAAAACTCCCATGTGCCATATAAGCAACTCGAATATCAACAATCGATCCAGCCCGAAAGTGCCGCAATACTACTGAAGTGCCATCAACTTAATCACATTGCCCTTTTTCTGAAACCTATACTCTCGTCAAATCACTTCCAAATAACAATACCATTTCCTTAATCATCTGAGGCTACCCGCTGCCTAAGAGTGTTATGCACTTCCTTTTAGAACTGAACTGAAACCTCATACACGCAAATCTCGATCCTCCACAACATACCGCATATACCATACCATCCAAGGATAACAGGAAAACTTTTATCTTCCTTCCGAGCCACAGACATCTACGCACTCAACTAGTCAAGAACTTCCATTGATCCCATCTAGAAGAAAAATCATTACACATCCCATGTCTCTCATATTCGTAGAAAATGCACCTCCTCAACCACGGTAGAAATCAACAAGAACTCTCCCAATTCCGTTTGCATAAATTAAACTGCCAGGACTGAGTCCTTCTAACTAGACCAAGCTAAGCAAGCCACCAAAACCCATGAGCTGCTGAATACTCTCTCACATATATTTCCAGAAATACCACATTCCAGAATACTTTACTTTGAAGAACTTCCTGCGAACCTAAATCCGTTACCTTTACTTTCCTGATACTGATACACAGAATCCCATAATTAACATAAAAATACCCCAAGTCTGAACCTCTCCAAATGAAAACACAGTTTCTAACCACATACGCAACCTTAAGATACCCGATTGCTTCATGTAGAATCTTGAACACATTAGAACCATTCTCGAAAGACATTCACTCTTATTCAAACTACAAATTACCTGACCCAACGAATAGAACCACCCGTGCCTCATTGGCACTCCGATGCCGCAAAATGAAATCCTCGCCCCGATACGACCAAGCAACTTCCTGCTCTATGCACCGAGTATTCTTCACCATCAACAACTTAAGACATCCTGTGATTCTCTCTCCCCATGAAGCATAATGTAGCCTTTGTCAAAATTTTCCTTTCCTCTAGCCATAGCTAATTCACTCGCCTGCCCCAAATTGGAACCAACATAGCACCTAACCGTGCAATCAACTGCTCACAGCAGACTCCCCCACTTGGCTCGAAGCCATAGATCAAGATACACTCAATATCTCATAACAGTTTTACTCTATTGATACCACAATACCATAGTGAGATTAAACTCAAATCATTTATAAGTTTGTGAAACACTGATCATCCAGTACTGTAAATCTTCCGCAAATCTCGCATTCAACCCCGCAATAGTCAAGCCCATTCTCTTAAGCAAATCAAAAATTTCAAATTTCAACGCGTACCTTTCCATTACACATGTGATCTTCTAACATACACATAAGGATCACACCACTTCGGAACACTCCGCATAGGATAACCCACCTGCTTCGCCTCAATATAACATTTCCGTATACCTTCCACCGTCATACACATTACACAGCCACTTAGTCTTCCTGAGTCTGAACTCATACCGCAACATGAAATTTATTTCACTCCCATCTAGGAGACACGAAAAGATTCTTCACGCGCCCATAACTCGGAGCTACACATCCAATCGCAATGAGATGACCCATGGAATAAATCTCAATCCAGAATCAAGAAAAGAAGAAATACTGAGCTATTAAATTAATAAGTATTGTATCTCGTAAGTGTGAAAACAACTAAATTTAGAAAAATAATTATAAAAAAATTATGTACTAATATAATAAAGACATAACAAAAATTAATATATAAATACTTTTAAATGAAAGATTTATTTAAAATTTACTATTGTAGCAGTCTTAGCGGATAACGTGCAATAATTTTTATTTAATTATGACATAAATACTCTCAACTTAATGATTTATGATTAAGAAAAAAGTAATTTTGAATAGTCAACAATTTATTAAGAAAATTTGAGGATTTACAAGGTTAGTTACACACGATTACATAAAATTCTATTAGGCGAGCCCAGTACGTTGGGCGTATCCGGGGCGTAAGCCTCGATGGCCGAGGCGTAAGTCTCATGGAACCAAGCCCCACACATTAGCCCAGGGGCGTTTTACGAGTGCCCCACCTCAGGCCCCAGGGCGAGCCCTGGACGAGTCCAATTCTGCCTTTTAAAACATAGGACGGTTATACATGTTATATCCTAAATGGGCAAAATCATCAATTTCATGTTATGTTCTTTTCCTGTCATGTCCCGTGGTCACTAAAAATTCACTGCATGGACTAGTTAGCCTTTTGGATAGTCTTTTGATATTTAGTGTAATTTTTCTGCAGGCAGGGCACAACTGTATTTCATAAGCTTCACATCATCTCATACAGCATTATGCATAGAGATACAATAGACGATTCAACTCCATCGTGTGCGAAGCTTTTTCTTGTTTTATCATGTATTGTTAGATATCATGGAATTTTTTCATCAAGATTCATGAAAAAGAATGAGCACTTTATTTACATAAGTAATTAAAATCCACGAAGTAACACTCTGTATTTTCTATATATATTGATACTTGGACCAGCTACTGATAAACAAGTTCACTCAAGCTGTTCCACTTGCTCAACAAGTTTGCTAGCTTTCCCCAGGATAATGAATACCTGTGACAATTCATTTAGCAGCTCACAATTGATATATGGTCTGGGCCTCTGTACTATTAGCATAGAAGACGTCATATCGATTGACTCCATTTGGATAAAACTGTTGGCTGAAGAATGCTGTCATTACAGGAAAAGCAAGGAGGCGGATAATTTAACCCTGAGGATGAGCCATATGCCTCCCAGCAAAAAGATGTTGTTGGATCCCCAGAAAATGAAGTTAATTGAACATCTTCCAAGTACAACTTTCTACAGGGGAAATTATCGCTGCAGGCAACTGTTATTGCCTTTTCTGTAGCTGAAGTTCCTTTAATGCCCACAAAGGATATGTTATCAATGCGAATGTTTGAAGTCTGCACAACGAGTAGTGGTAGTTTTTCGAATTAGACCTATTAAAACACACACACAAAAGAACATGGAAGGCGTGAAGAACGGAATACTTAAGGGACCTATTGATGGTCTATTTTTTTTACTACATGCTGAACAGTGAATTACAACTTTCATTTAGTGCAGAACTAACATGTATTTATCAAAAAGAGCTTAATACAGAGGTAAACACCATGTTGTATATATAACAATCTACTAAATATTCACCTTGTTCTCAAGCAATAACTCCATCATGGATGTCACTACCTTCACTAGTTCACTAGTATGCCGATAATTTACTATGTCAACCGAACCTTATCTTAGGCTCAATGCAGAAATGACCTGACGCATACTTGCACACTATATACTAGCTAACATGCACAATAACCTTGCAAGATTGAACTCCTTTTCCAAGCAAACAATATATAGAACACCAAGAAGATTAGGCAAAGAAGCTGAATTTGGACTGAAAATCAAGAAATTGAGCAGAAAATGTACCTTGTTTGAACAGGGCAGCAGAGAATCACAGTAATATTGGTCTATTATGATAGGATTTGAGACATTTTCCATCCAAACATTCTCGAAAGTAATCTTTCTGACAAATCCAGTACCTCCCTGAAGAAGCATTAAGGGTAAACAAACAACGGGATAGGGATATGTAACCGTAGGTCAGCAAATTTAATTATTAGAGATGAAAAATGGTATGATGCCCAAAAATGATGTCAAGGTTTTGAAGATTCATCCGATGCAGATATCGAAGAGAAATAAGCAGGATTACCTGCCAAGTCTTTATTCTAACCCCGTTCTCCGTGTTGGAAATAGATGCTCCATTAACATGAACATTGTAAACTTGAGACATTGAATTGGACTTTCCCAAGCTTCCAATGCTAAAAGAACAGGGTACTAATTATAACTTCATCTTTACATAACTTCAACAAAACAGCAAAATTTTCTACCTTATACCATGGCCTGGCCCACACACAATGTTTCTAACTGTTATCCGCGATGAATTGCCGACAATAGATATGCAGTCATCTCCTGTATTCAGTTTCTGAGTTGGTCAAAAGATAATGAAATATCTGATAGAGGCTCAAATGTGAATAGGACATCCTGATCACACAAAATAAGTGACAATGTTGGTGATGAAACTACGACGTAGGCTCAACTCTCAACTGGAGTATCCGGCAACAGTGAGAAAAAATTTAAATAAAAAAAAAAACTAATTGAGTCTCAATCGATTTAGCATAAAGAATGGTTAGCTTAATATATTTTACCTGCTTATTGTATCCAAAAGAAGACCTCACATTTCACTAATCATAACTGAACTACAATTTCTGGCCCACAATTTTAGATTCCCCAGACAATGCATTATATTTCAACCTCTGCAAACACAGAGCTATGCCCCCTAAGATGCAGGCAGTATTAGAACCATAAATCCGATTTTATCATCTCGAACATACATTGTATCTGTTAGATAGTAATCTAAGCCATGTTGAGCAGAGGTACAGCCAGAACAACAATAATACCAAAAGAACGACCAAGACATGATCTATCTGTTTCTCCAATTGCAATGACTAACGATCAACTAACCTGTGCCAATAGTGCAATCCTTGATATTGACCTGTTTAGATGAACTTATGTGGATTCCATCAGTGTTAGGGCTATCAGCTGGGGCTAAGACTGCGAGACGTGATGCTGCAACATGTTTGCAATCAGTAAATGCTAAATGCATTTGTTGACTATTAAGGATCTTAATGTTCCTGACTTTGAGGTTGTTGCATTTGTGGAAAGTTAAAGCCTGCACTCCATTAATTAACGAATCAAGACCATAATCAGTATATATAAAATTCTTTTTTTCCTGAAACAGAGTTGATATCTACTATATTAGTCAAAATTAATCACATAAGAGGGAAAGGCAGCACTGACCGTTGGAGCATGTTGACACGGCTAGCAAAACACAAGATTGCAAAACATTAAATTCATGTTGTGAAAGAGTACCATTAAGCACGAGGTAAACAATGGCAAAGAGAATTACATTTGTTAAGTTGACCTTGCATGACCGAGACCACCACTCCTGGCCCATACCATTTATAGTTCCTCCTCCTTCTATTGTCAGGTATTTCACACCACGGAAATAGAGCCATTTTCGTGGATTCAAGCCATCCCAGACTTCAGGATCCTTTGGCGCTAAAATAGTACCTGCAATCTTGTGTATATTGAAAAAGACAACTGAATCCCTTTTAGCTAAATAAAGAGTTGGATAACATACAATTGCTCAATTTGGCACTCACCCTTAAGGACACCTTTGACCGGCAAGGACCAGCAAAATTAAGTGGCCGAACTAAGAAAGAATATCCACCAGGTATGACAATTTTCGATCGTGATGCTGAAGAGCAGGCCTTGTCCCAAGCATCTTTAAAAGACTGAAAATACAAAAGAACTTCTTAACTGAAGCTAAGTACTTTACACTCTGGTGATCCGATCTTAGTACGAAAGTCTCGTAAACTTTTAGCTCACCAAACATATTAACAAAAACTGTCAGCACTAAGAATCAAAGCAAGCAACATTTTGCTTTGTTTGCTCATAACAATAAAAGATATGCACTAGTCTTCTTAATATCTTTTTTAAATTTTTTTACTTAATGTATCAATCTTGCTACAATGTTTTTATAGCAGAAAAGAGGAAAAGGAATGAGTAAATCATGTTTTCAATAACAATCTTACATCCATGGGAATTGGGAAACAGAACTATTTGACCAATTAGTGATCCACAACGAATAAAGCGAAAAGGAAAAAAAAAAATCTAAGTGGCTCAAAAATAACAGAATCATTAGTAGCAAAATGGAAAATTCAGCATTTATGAGAAATCTCATAGGTGTGGAAACATTACATAATCATAACGAACGCAGACAAAAGAACGGGACTTACGCTAGTGTCGTCGGTGATGCCATCTCCAATTGCTCCAAAGTCACTGACATCAAAAAGGGTTTCTGGTTTACGGGTCGTGTTCTTCACAGACGCAGATGTAGGGAGCTGTATCACAGAATCAAACCCGTTCACATTTGCTGAAATCAAGACGAAATAGATACCGTATAGTGATGCGAAGAATGCAGCAGAGGTGGAATAATAAGAGAGATTAAAGTAAGAGATGGAGGAAGATCTCATCTTCCCCATCTTCCATTAGACAAAGGCAAATGGGAATCAACTCTGTAAATTAACTAGTGACACTTGACGATGTCAAACATCGCTGTCGGCAAGTTTCCAAAAAAGGCCCTACAAGCCACTTCTGTCGAGTAAAGATTAGAAAAGGAATGTTATGCAAATTCTACGTTGGAATCTTGGTTAAAAAATTACTCCATTATCAACTGTCATTTTTTTTTTTCCCCAAACGTGGAACTCAATATAAATTATTTAATTGATAGCAAGAAGCCAAGAAACATAGGAGTACTGAGGAGCCATAAAAAGATTTCATTTTTTCCGAAAAATGTTCACTTTTCAGAATAAGTAGTTGGCAATAAAAAATTTAAATTTTACTTGAATTGAATTTCAAAACTTTTTGTAATTTGAAAACTACGAAAAATTATTTTTCAAAATTTTCACTTTAAATTACTCACAAAATTAAAAAATAACTTCAAATTGTATTCATGTCCAAACACAATTCTCATTTCAAGTATCAATTTCACTTTAAAACAAATTAAACTTTTTCCAGAATTTCACAATTCTTATATCCAAATGGCCACTAAATTCCGCCGAGAAGTCTTGAAAGCAAGAATGAGACATGTATGCACGTCTATGTACAAAATTTGATTTTATCTTAATATACTGTTTATTTACTTTTTCAGTTAAAGATGTGCCTACCCACTTAAACTTAAAATAGTCGGTAATATATTCGACCGACTATTTATATAAAGATCCCTTATATATAATTTTGGACTAAATGAGTGGAAGCTGAAATTTTCTTGTAGTAATTAAGTTTTATGAACTTTTTTAAACCACTATTTATATGAAGCCAAATTTTTCTAGTAGTAATTAAGCTGTATGGACTTTTTTTAATCACTATTTCTATGTTAATCCTGTTAACAAACGTTTTGAAAGCTAGTCTCGTGTCAAAATTTTAAAGCGCCTGAAATCTAACGATCATTAGAATTTTTGGTTAGGATGCTGAAATATCCTTGTGATCCGTCAGGAATTGTCAAAATCCTAATGATCACCATAACTGATGCGTACTTTTAAATTATGTCCAATGTGTGTTTAAAATTCTAGCGCTTGAGAAAAATCCTGCTCAACGTGCTTTAAAATTCTAGTATTGAACTTTTTCCCGAACACTTGTGTTACTAGATTAAAAAATCAATAGTGGCACAGAAAGTATACTATTTGTGTCATTTTTTGTTAGTGAATGCTGACGATTCCAACTTGAAAGAAACCACTATTTAACTTGAAATAATATTTCATTTACTAACATTCAAATGCTAAACACAAACTTCCATGGCCAAATTTCTAAAATTTCAAATAACTATTTCAGTATTTGAAGTAAAATCGTCGACATATCTTTTCGAATATACCAGCAGCCGGAGTTGTAGTAAAAAATAATCGTGTCAGATTAGTCTGGACGTTGAAATAAAAAAGATAATTGTGGATGCAAATAAAAAAGAAAAAGAATAGTATAACAAATCAATAACTTCTTACATCTCAAATGAATAGCACAATCTCCCGTTGAAGAAAATTAAATTACTAAAAGTTTTTGAAAGCAAATCGTGATCTAAGAAATTTATTCCAGACTAATAAGTATAAACTGAAGAAGAAGAGTAGATGGAAATATGTTCTGAATTTTATTTATTTATTATGGAAAGAAATATCTAAGAAGCCCGTTGTAATTGAAAAAATCGATCTAAGAATTAAAACTTACTCAATCTTTAAAGTTTATAGCATTAAACTCATTATATTTTTAAAGTGATTCATGTTTATAATTTATTATAATTTTAATGGATTTTCACAGACAAAGTTATAGTCCCAAAAAATAAAAATTGGGTTCAGCTCAAGGCGACACGGCTATACACTGCATCTTCGTCTGCTTGAGGCATTAGCCTATCAGACACAAACTTAGGGGCCCAAATGCTTTGTGAGTTAGGGTTTTATTTTTGAAGAATGGGACTCCAAATTCTAATCCATTCCGATTCATTTCAGACCCATTTTGTAACACGATCTTTTCTTCGTCCAAGCTGACGATACTTGGTCCACTGTAAATGGAACTTTAGCCTTGGCCGTCTCGCGGCACTTTAGCGCAGCTAAATTCACATATATACACAGCATCAACCTAGTCAGCTATTTCCATAAGAATTATTTTTTAAGTTTATAAATCACCAATTGATATAACTTATAAGCTAGCATCATAGTATATGCCTCGTGGTCACAACAATTCATTGTTAATTTATATTAGCCATTAAACTAACGTTTCCTTAGTGTTAAATTCATAGATTGAAGATATCAGCTGGTAACCTTTCTTATAAATGATACCTACCTCTAAACCCCACCCCGCGCCTCTCCATTAGGATTAAGGGAAAAATCCCTTTTTTCTGGCCAGTTATTTGGAATTGTTTCTTCCATGCTCGTGAATTGTCAATGTTACAGGAGCTCCATTCCAAGTATCAGAAGGAGATATATGTATTTGTCTTAGAAGGCAAATATCAGTTAAAAAAATATTATACAGGTAAGAGTTCCCATGCTTGAGCTTGAAACATGCTCTCTTCTTAGCACACAGGATGTTTCCTTGCTATGAGAATGTTCTCCGCACCAGTACTGGCGCTTCTCAGAATATTATTGATAATAGAAAGTTAGTATAACGTTACAATATATATGCCAAGGAAACGAGACGACTGCGTGGTTAAGCAGCTTCGTTGGTGTAGCATGTGATGACAGATTGGGTACAGGAATTGCCTTTCATAATTGGTGCAGCACCCTTTTGTCCCCCCCTCAGTCTTTTACAAATGTTAGATAACAACAACAGTGTAGTCTCACAAATGGGGTCTGGGGAAGGTAGAGTGTACGCAGACCTTATCCCTGCCTTTAATAAGGCAGAGAGGCTGTTTCCGGAAGATCCTCGGCTCGGGAAAGGAAGAGGGGATTTTACAAATATTAGACTATAAATTAAATTCTCTCGTTATTCTCGTAATTAACTTCTTCTACCTTGTGCTTCAGTTCATCCAATTAATTGGTACTAATTAGCTAGAGTTATAGATCAGTGACTGTTTTTCAACAGATACTTGACTATTCAATGCTAGCTTGACTTAATTATATTCCACGTCAACTGCCAGCCTTTAAAGGAAATTAAAGCATTTAATTTATAGGTTCGGTAAGATTCGGTTTACCCAACGATACACACCATAGTATTAATCTTATTGTTTCTAAATTCGGTATCAACTATTCCTGGACAGAGAAAATGTTGATTACATTTTCAACAAACCACCTAAGATGAAAATCGAACCAAAATGCACCACGTAAAGGAAAAGGGTGCGTCTCGGGTCGAGAAGGGAGGAATCGAACGTACTTATTATAAACCAGAAGATATATTCTTAATTTCAGATTCGTTATTTACACATTGAGAGTTGTCACACAGGGATTCAAGAAGAGGAAAACGAAATAAAAAGAAAAAATACTGCTTGTATAAATGTATAAGGAATACCTATCCAACAAGAAAAGCAAGAAGCCTAAAGTAGCAGGCCCCTGTCCAACCTAAAGAACGAAAATATGACAGAAAAAGCAAACAAATAACACTGTACATTTGTCTTTTAGCTACAATATTTTGGTACACATCTGAGGCTATGGATTCAAAAGATGCTAATAGCCCGTTTGGCCAAGCTGCAAAAATCAGCTTATTTTAAGAAGTGTCTTTCTTCAAAAGTGCTTTTCTCAAAAGTACTTTTGGTGAGAAGTAGTTTGTGTTTGGCTAATTAGTTTGAAAAGCACTTCTGAGCAGCAATTAGTGTTTGGCCAAGCTTTAAAAAACTGCTTCTAAGTGTATTTTTCTCAAAAGTGCTTCTCAAAAAAGTGTTTTTGGAGAGAAGCTACTTTTTTCTGCTGCTTCTGCTTCTCTTCAAAAACACTTTTTTTCCTTCCAAAAGCTTGGCCAAACACCTCAATTTTTGGCCAAAAGTGCTTTTGGCAAAAAAAAAAAAAAAAAATTACTTTTGGCCAAAAAGAAGCTTGGCCAAACAGGCTATAAACCTGGCAGTTGGCGTTGCTAATTTAGAATTATATTAAATTCCTAGTTAGGCTATAATTTTTTTTAAAAAAATTATTATGTCTAGTTAGGCTACAATTCGTTTGCAGCTGGTGAATGCATATGCTTATCTTATTTGGAATATCGGGATTTTTTCATTCCTATACACTACTAGTATTAGCACCCGCGCAGATGCGCGGACACTAATCATGTTAAATATTTGAGTTATTTGGATTATATGTAAAATTAAAAATCTTAAAATTTAAACCTTCTCGATAAATATAGATAATTATTAGATATTAATTAAGAAACACTATATGAAAATGATTAAACATTTCTCAAATCTCCTAATTATAATTCTATTTTTCCTTTTTAGTACCATTCTCGCCGGTGTCATTGGATCCAAAAAATAGTCAGTAAGTAACTCATATTTATGGCAAAACAATCAAAGATTGAGACTATGAAGGACTCTTTGGATACGACTTGACTCTTTTACTACTGCTTGAACTCTTATTTGGTGTGTTGATATATTCTAAAATTATTTCTATTTTANTTGGTGTGTTGATATATTCTAAAATTATTTCTATTTTAAATTTTCAGTTTCTAAAACTTTATTTTCAATAATAATTATTTTTATAACAATATAAGTAAATATATTATCCTTAGTTCAAAACTCATTTTAGTCGGCTATCTAAAATTTAAAAAATTCTTTAGCCAGTGATTTTCTTTCTAATATGACTCCATTTTGATATTTGACAATAACCATGCTAAATATGTGAGTTATTTGAATTATATGTAAATAACCTTAAAATTTAAACTTTCTAGGTAATTATAGATAATCATTAGCACAATATGAATGATTCTTTGGTTACGACGTAATGATTCTTTGGTTACGACGTAACTCTTTTACTACGACTTGAATTCTTATTTGGTATGTTATTATGTTTAAAAAAAAATATTTCTATTGTGAAATTTCAATTACTACAGCATTATATATATTTCAATAATGATTATTTTTATAATGATGCAAGTGAAGATATTATCCTTAATTTAAAATTCACTTTAATCGGCTATCTAAA